GCCGCTTGGGGACTGGCTGGGGGTCAGACGGCGGGTGGTGAGCAATTGCCCTGCGCATCATTTGTACATTTCAATCCTTTTATTACTACTGTTGTCATTTTATTAGTGTTACCATTATCATTATCAGTTTCTTCTGTTCTATTAAACCGTTTTTATCTCAACCCATGAGTTTTACTTCTTCTCCTGATTTTCTTCCCCATCCCATTGGGTGGGGGGGGAAGTGAGTGAGTGGCTGCATGGTGCTTAGTTACTGGCTGGGGTTAAACTACAACACTGAGCAAAACATAAGAAAGACCCTAGGCTCATGTTTCTGTCTCTTATTTACCCTGTTTTTGAGCACATGTGAGATTTTAATGGCACCTGCCATTGTTCTTGTGTGGCCCTCAAAATTAACTCTTTCTTCTCCAGAGGAGAGCCACATAAAGGGGATTCATGATGCCATGGCAGAATTTGAAACACTGACTTGTATTAATTTTGTGAAGCGCAAGACAGAACGTGACTACCTCATCATTAAATCTGCCGATGGGTGAGTTAAATGATAAATTAACAAGTTATTTCTACATTGTTTTTCAATTCTTTACTACACTCATTCTGTGTGACCTTAGAGAGGAAAGGGGAACGGATTTAGAGAAGAAACTTTATGTTTTATCACAGTGCCAAGGTATCCTCCTTGGATACCTTGCTAGTGCAAGGACTCAGCAGTTAGATCAGGGACTCACAGAAGACACAGAAGTGATGCAGACCATGGGAAGTACCATTAAGGTGGAAAGAATGTCGAAGCTCATGTTTTCTGTGTGGTATAATGCACGCTTGAGCACAACATATAACAGATTACTGTAGTTCTTATTTGCACAGGCAAAACTGATTTTAACTTATGAAATAAACAGTTCTCCGAATCACACAAGTTGGCTGTCAAGGTCAGAATTAAAGCCTGTGAGAGAATCATTCAACACCCATTAGCTTGAAAGTGCTATTCATCTTAGCTCCAGCTCTGATATAGTGTTCTGTATTTTGGAAAAAAAAATATATTCAGTTATTTCTAGAGAAGTAAAGTCACTGGGTACAGAAAGTCAGAATGCAGGAGCCTCCATGCTAATGAAGGTCTTCCAGGAACCTTTAGCAATGATCATACTGTTTGTTGTTTTCTATGCCATGGTCAGTTCTGCCCTTCTGTAGACTCTGACTATCACAGTGGACAGGAAGAAATCAGTCCTTCCACTCCCACAAGACGTGCATGAAGCAAGGTTCTCTATACTGTCCCTTTGCCTGCCTGACAATAAAAATCCCATAAGTCTTCTGTTGGTGTTCAATGCCTCTCTCAGCTGCTGGTCAAACTATGGGAAAGTAGGAGGTGGACAGACTGTCTCTGTGATGAAAGGAGGCTGCATGTGGAAAGGAATAATTCAACATGAACTGGACCACGCTTTGGGCTTTTTGCACGAACATTCTCGAAGTGACAGGGATAAACATGTAAAGATCATGTGGGAGTACATCAGCCCAGGTAAGTGCCTTTGAACCCTCAATGTAGAAAGTGATGTAGATACACCCTACTGTTCCCAGCTCTTCCTTCCTCCCTGAAGGGAGTAGATAGGAAGCATACTCTAAGTACAGTATCATATGTTACAGCTGACAGACCAGACTTCAAGAAATTTGAAAACTCCAATAACCTCGGTCTTCCATATGACTATTCCTCAGTAATGCACTATGGCCCGTAAGTAGCAGCATGGCATTGCTTTTGTTGAAACTCAAATCTTACATTAGAATTAGTTTCTATAATACATCTCTCCTAACTACCAGTTTCCCCATTTCCCCTTCTGCACTGAGTCAGTTCAGACAAGCAAGTCTCTAAGATGAATTCATTATCCTTTAACTTTCCATTAAGGAGCCATTCACAGCTGAGCTTGGGAGCAAAGAAGGACATCTTGAGATTGACTCTGCTTACTGCAGGACATCTTAATCAAACCTATCTGAACAGCACTGTTAGTCACAATAACTTGCGTACAATTCTTGTTCTCCCCCCAAAGCTTGCCATTAAATCCTGAAAGAAGTGATTGTACTTAAAGAACATGATTTTTCATGGTTTTTTGCAGATACACATTCACTAATACCACTGGGAAAGCAACTATTGTACCAATTCCTGATGGATCAGTACATATTGGACAGAGGCAGGGACTGAGCAATCTGGATGTGGCCAAAATCAACAAACTTTACAACTGCAGTAAGTATCTCAAAGCCACCCTTTCAATCTTCTATTCAGATTCTTCACAAGGTTGTTTGGGCACACTGCAGAGGCAGCAGTTTCTCATCAAAGACTGTGAGGCTATTGTCCTAAATTCATGGTACCCATTAGGGTTGCTCTGGGAGAGAATGCAAAGGTGAAGCTGGAGGCACATTGTGATTAGTGAGAAAATGCTTTCTGCCTCCAAATTAACACATTCACTGTTGGCATAAGTGGCTACTGTGCAACTGGCCTAACTGCATACCATGTTGCATGCTTCACTGGAGTAATTTGGTTTCTTACACTTCAGGAGACAACTATAAACCCCACAAAGAGCCAGACATCTCTGTTCCTCATTGCAGTTTGTATTTAAGACCTGAGCCAAACCAAAACAGTTGTAGGCTTCTCTGAACTGGAACAGTTTCATGATGCCTTGTGCAGTTTTCAAATGTTTAAGCTGTCATTCTAAATTTATATGTATTTTTAACTCTTTAATTTTAACCTCTGCTAGAAGAAATTCTCCCATACAATGAGAGAAATTTATTCAGTCAAGGGGAAAAAAATCTTGATGAATAAAGTATTACTGCTTGCACAGAGGGAAGCCCAAGTCCTCCTCCTAAGCTTAGAATTTAAGCATTGCAGAGACACCGTATTTGGGTTTGACTCTTCTAACATCACTTGACTTCCGCATCTCAGTGAAAAACAATGATGTCACCAATTGCAATGAATTGAAACCTCTCACACTTTTTATAGAGGTGCAGAAAGAGATCCCTGGCTAAACTATGGAGCTAATCAATAAAAGCTAATGCTTTTTCCAAGCACTACTTTACTCTCCATTCTGATGCAGATACTTATGCATTATGTGAAAATTAGGACAACAGGTTTCTTCATTTTAATCAAGATGTACCAGCACTCTGAAACGAATGCTGGCAGATCAGGAAATTGAGACCAGACCATTCTGAAGAGATTGTAATTGTAAATGAGTGGAAGTTTCTGTAAGCCTGGTGCTGAAGCAAATGTTGTTTCTTTCTCAGGTCGCTGCAGCACTATTCTCGATGCAGCATCTGGGTCACTGAGATCTGCCAACCACCCAAGAAATTACTCAGATAACACCAACTGTGTCTGGCTCATCCGAACCCAATCTGGAAAGGTAATCACAGGTTAACAGTGGTCTTGGAATATGGCTGAACTTACTTCTTTCTATGTTAAGTATTTTGCACTTTGTCTGCATACCAGTTGCCGGGTAAGATCTTTTCCATGAGAAAGAGTTCAGACAAGTCTCTACTTCCTCACACCCTTAAGCCAGGTATAGGCAAAGACAACTGCAGAGTTGCGATTTTGAAAAACCTCCGTATGTTGGGCTTCATGTTTGCACAATCAAGACAAAGCAGTCTGAGCATGGGAACATTCAGTCACAGGCCCATTAGATCTGAACGCTGCAGCTTCAGGGGATGGGAGGCAAGGCTGGATAAGCAGTTCCAGTTTGGGCTTGGCTGCAGCTTAGATTCTGTCTGTTTTAAAGGATGCTGCATGAAAGAAGTCACATAGATGTATATTAAAGGCTGGTTTTCTCTTCCCTTCCAGATTTCCCTGCACTTTCAAGCCTTTGAGCTGCAGAGAACCAGAGGCTGTCAGGGTGATTATGTTAAAGTTTATGATGGATCCAGCAAGTCTTCTGCAGTTCTAATGGACAAGACCTGTGGATCAAAGATACCCAGTGACGTAGTTGCTTCTAGTAATCTTATGCTCGTAGAGTTTGTCACAGATGGTGCTGGTTCAGCTGCTGGTTTCCAAGCCACCTTTACTTCTGGTAGGTCTGAGAACAAGGAGAATGGCAAAGAAAAACAACCTGTGTCAAATCAACCTTCCTCTTCACAGAGGAAAAACATTGTTTGAGGAACTACTCTCTGCAAGAGCCATCACTTCCTACCTTGCTTTTGGTATAATGGATCAGTCTCACACTGATACCATTTATTCATTCAGGCAGATGGGGCCACGCTCAGGACAAGTGGTGTTAGCCAGGTGATTCACTGTTTGCTTTGCCTCTCAGATATATGCCATTCCAAAGTGTGTGCCATTAAGGGTAACATCAATTTAATGTTACTGCTAGTGTTGCTAGCACAGTAGAAGGAGAATAAATCATAATGCAGTATTTAAATATATTGCTCCTCTGAAAAAGATGCAATTTTCAATCACACAGTTCAGAGGACAAGACAGAACTATGGTGAACCAGGTCACCCAGCCCCACGGCAAGAAGAGAGGCAGTATTTCCATGGTCAGGATCCCTGGAATGTATCCACCTAAACCACATTTTCTTCAGTCCCATTTAATTAAGAACTAAGGCCACAACTGTGTAAGTTACCACAGGCTTCCAAGTTAGCATGTATCACCTGGAATAAAGCAATGCTTGTGTGCATATCCGTAGCGTACAACAATTGTGCAGTAGTGCAGCTTGCCTTAGTTAGTACAAAAGAAAGCTCAGCTATGTCTTATGACCTTGTATTTGCTGTGGGATAAGAACAAGCACACAGAGTTTGCATAAATCCACTGAAATGCAGTAATTTAACTGTATACCCAAACCAAAAGAGCAATTTTGCGTTGTCTTTATGTAGTATCTATTTTTGTCCGTTGTAGCTATGGAAGGAAAGAAGAATAAGAAAACTTCCCACACCACTTTGATGTGTCAACAACTATAAACCAGTCATAGTTGTCAGATAAAATGTGATTTAACATTTCCATATTTTAGAGATACTACAGTTTGTTCAGAGAGCTCTGAAAGCTAAATATTCTCTCATTTCACTTACAGTGAGGACCGAAAGAAATCCTAGTATCCACAACTGACTTAATGAAGAAGAACCTATTCTGTGAATATTGAAATTATGTGTTTCCTACTTTGCTCCTATTCTGGCTTGGATCAGTATGAAATTTAATTCTATTAAGAATCAAAGTTTTCATCTTCCTGAGAAAGTTTATTCCCCAAGCCACATAAACGTATGAATTCTATACATCCGGTGTGCTCCTCCTTTTGTCTGCACAGTTAAGTTATTACCTCTTTCTATTTAACAACTGAATAAAGATCTTAAAAAAAAAAAAAGTTTCCACTTCTGTTTTCCAGTAGTCCCTTCCAGCTGTACACGCTATCAATGTGGTCTTACTCCTTAGCCCCCTTCATTCAGCCACAGGGGTATTTATTAACTATACCCCTGACATCACCATAGGTTTAGTTGGCTGAAGAGGTCAGCTCCAAACTTTACAGATTCATTTTATGATCTTCACAGTGTTGAGCATGAAGATGTCTTAGATACAGACTCTTTTCCCAGCCTAACATTCAAGCTTCCAAAAATGACATCTCCCTTAACAATCCTGTTATATCCTTAAATTGCCAGAAAAATGGACAAGACAAAACAGTTGCCAGTAAAGGACTGGTACTTCCTATTGCAGTTTTCCTTGTACAGTTCTGGTAGGCAGGGGACAGCTAAGGGTCCTTGTTTACCCACAAGCCATTTTTAGTCCACAGATATGGTTAAGCCTATCACAGGACAAGAGGTGGACTAGATAATGATGCCAGAGCTCATGCTCATCTTCAGTTCTTCAGGGAGGAATTTTTTTGTCAGGCAAGAAGCTAAACTCTCCTCTTCTGATCTCATAAGGAGGACAGAGAGCTGTAAGAGTGGCAGAGCTCCTGGAGAGTTCATTTCATAGCCTTTGCCTGCACACTTTTAAAATGACATTCTCTTGACCACGACAAGCCTGTAACAGATCTGAGAACAAAATAGGCTGCTCTTTTACTCTTGTATTGTAGACAGGTAGTTAAACATATGACTAACCAGTGTATTTAATACTTGTACATTTAGGTCTGAAAAAAGCAAATACTTTTCTTGTTCTTACGCTGAAACACTAAGAACCTTGGAATTTTTCTCATAGAAATACATTTCTAGAAAAGAACAGTGGGAAATGAATTTGAATCTCAGAGTAAAATTTATACAGCAAATGGCAAATTATTAATTTCTTTTCTTTTGTTAAAGAAAACACCAAAAAAGACTTAATTTGAAAGAATTTGCTCCAAGCCCTGCCTGTATTTATACTATTTCATGAAGAATCAGTCACTTCTTGATGGCAGAGAAACTTTAATTCCATTGAAGATTGCTTCTTTATCCACAGTGGCTGTGCAAATGCCCCTAAACACAGCAATTTTGAGTCTGCTTTAGAAGGCACATTTCTTCAGTTCTTCAGGCACTGCAAGACAGGTTCACCTTCTGACATGTTGTTCTAGTTACTCTCAGCAGTCAAGTGTTGCTACCAACACGTCATAAAAGGAGTAGTCCTCCTCAAATATAGTTAAAAAAGCAGTTCTAGAGAAAAATATTTCACAGTTGTGATTTCTCAGCCCCTACAAAACAAAATGGAGAAAATAATACTGCAAAGCCAGAATCTACTGGGGGATCAGTGAGGACCAACATCCTAGCCCTTTCTGTGGGAGATGAATTTCAAGTGGGATTAAGGTGGTCCACAGGATGATGAAAATGTAGTTTCAGGCGATTTAGGTTCTTATGTTTGAAGGAGGGATGGTGATTTCAGTAGATGAGCTTTGTGGGAAAGAGCTCTGAAATACTGTTGACAATGACTGGGAATTTAATAAAGCTGTGATCATCTGTGTATTGCTAAAAAAATTAAGAGGCTTTCTTTTTATGGGAAATTAAAGTAATCTGTGTTAAGAAAAAACCAAACCCAGTGGACATTAAGACCCTGTGGTTTCCCTTTCTAATTCCACTGGAAGAGGAGCCACTTCCCTGCCAAGAGGCAGCCAGCAGAGTCCAGGCCCTTGTGGGGTTGGTCTGATCCCTGTTGCACAGGGCAGGGGTGTCCTGGTTTCGGCTGGAATAATGTTAATTTTCTTCTTAGTAGTTGGTATAGTGCTGTGTTTTGGGTTTAGGATGAGAATAACGTTGATAACACACTGATGTTTTAGTTGTTGTTAAGCAGTGTTTATACTAAGTCAAGGACATTTCAGCTTTTCCTACTGCCCTGCCAGTGGAGGCTGGGGTTGCACAAGAAGCTGGGAAGGGACACAGCCAGGACAGCTGACCCAAACAAGCCAAAGTGGTATTCCATACCATATTATGTCATGCCCAGTATATAAACTGGGGAGAGTTGGCAGGGGGGCACCACAGCTCGGGCATTGGTCAGCAGGTGGTGAACAATTGTATTATGCATGACTTGTTTTGTATATTCAATTAGTAGTAGTATTTTCCCTTCCTTTTTTGTCCCAGTAAACTGTCTTTATCTCAACCTGTGAGTTTTACTTTCTTTTTTCCCCCTGATTCTCTGCGTGATGCCTAGTTGCCGGCTAGGGTTAAACCAAGGGCTAAAGCTGGTGACAAAGACTGAGCCAAGGTTCAGCCTGAGTGTGTGACCACTCACTTGCCCCAGGGCAACTCATCAGAGATACCAGCAGCTCTGGATGTTGTGAGCAGCCCAGGACAGTCACTGATTCCACTTAGCCTGGGTTCCCAGCCATCAGCTGGAGTGTACAGGGACAGCAGTACTAGGCAGCCTGTCCATGTCTGGAAACACTTTCTAGTCCAAGGAGTTTCACATCCCCTTGCTGTGACCATAAATGTCCCCCACCCCAATTTCAACCTGAGAGTACAAGCCACCCTGTTCAGAGGGATCATATCTCCACCTACTGCCCTATAGCACAAGTGTAACCTTTCTCTCATGTAGGCGGGGGTTTCTCTCCAGCTCTAGGGACATGCACCAGGCTGCGGACAGGGCAGCAGGACTACCAGTGAGTGTCTCAGCCTAGGAATGGCTTCATGAGGCTACTACTGAGTAGGACCAGTTGTGGTTTCAAACGCTCATTGTCAGACACACACACACAGTCATGTCTGCATCTTCTTACTCGTCCTTGATTATCTCCAGAAGAAACAGCAGATAATGCAGCAATGTCATTTTCAGAGACACCATCTTGCCTGAGAAAATGCTTGCTGGGCAAGGGAGTACTTCAGCAGGGAGAGCAGCATCATAAATCACAGCTGGGATTGTCCAGGTGTGTGCACAGTCTTCTCTGGGACAGTAGTGGGCATCTCCCTCAAGCAGTCCTAGTCCGGAAGCTATTTCAGCAGGACAGAGCAGCTTCCCTGCAGGTTTCTATTTCTGGGGTGCTGCCCCAGAGGGGTGAAGCTTCTTGAGCTGGATCAAATCCACTTTGGGCATAGGGAAGCCTTCACATATACAATGCCTCCCAGGGATGTGGCAGGAAATCTCTTTTAGGGTAGCAGCTCTTCCCCCAAAATACATCCATAGCAATCCAGCCAAGCCAGTCCTTGTGGAGAGATTCTTAACAGAAATACGAAGATTGGCAGGAATGCTGTAGGGATGGAAAAGTGCACGTGTGAGAAAGCAGTGGAAGAAGCAGCCGAACAAGGGTTACAAGAACAGCCTGTATTGATAACAAGGGACATCATTCCCATGACACTGCTCCCATGACACTGCACCCAGGAGGATCATGGAGGAATGCATTGTTTATGGCATGACCACAGGGTCTATACTCCATTCAGGCAACAGCACAGATGAATTCTCAGTGGAAGATCCTGCACTCACATGCCAGCAAGTTTGCAGCTACTAAACGTGCCATTCCTTTTTCCTGTTACCTCAGCAGGAAAACAGAGATATCCTTCCAGCAATGACAAACAGGTTGTTTGAACACGAGAGGCTCTTCTACAGGGAGGCACAAGGCTGTAATTCCCATGCTTGTATCAGTGGTGGTTCCCTGCCACAGTCTGAACTCTTCTTTACTAGGCACTATGCAGACATGGGACAATTACACCATCACCTTGAACCCCAGGCTGGGGTTTTTGTGTTCAGAGTCCTGAGGCACATGCAAACTGCCTGGGCTGTGCACCATCCCGCCACACTGCCCGTGCTGGCAGTGACGACGCAGAGTGGAGGATCCTTTACCTACACCCTCTACTCTTTTCTGCCCTGGAGCTCCTTGCCCACCCCACTTCTGTCCTTGTTCAGCCCCGCACCCTTCCTCCCAGTGAGCTCACCATAGGTCTCCACAGAGTGGAGAGGTGCCTGCAGAGAGGTTCTGGTTCCTCTGTGCTACCTGCAGGAAGCACAGACACCTACAGGCATCCAGGCAGGGGAACTAATGCCCCAAGGGAGCATGCAGACACAAGGTGGGGCTGGCACTATTTGCAATTTCACTTTCCATTCAGTTGTTTAGGTTAAAGTCTCCACTAAATGATTAAGCTTTTTTTTTTTTCTTTTTCTTTTTTTTTTTTTTTTCCAGGCAACTAGTTTCTGTGGAAAGTGTTACCTTATTGAAAGCCAGTCTTTCTTAACTGGCTGCCACTTGGGTTAAGACACTGCTTGAAGGGGGAGATTGAAATTCTGCTTTATGGAAATGTAGTGAGGTGCTCTATACCTTAGCATCAATATGCAGACTATGTCTATTAAAAAAAAAAAAAAAAAGTAGTTCTGTATTATAGATCAAATGCTAACCTTTCAATAAACCTTTTAAACCTAACTGAACTAGAAAAGAACAAACACCCTTCTAAATTTATCTAACTGCCCAAGGGATAAATAAGTTCTGTAAACAGTCTGGCATGGAGAACTAAATAAAAAGAAAACTGGAAAAATCTGGATTTCATAGTAAAAATGAAAGTCAGTTCTATATATAGAGATTACATTTTCATTTGAGGTTATACTACGCTTTCTCTGTAATCTTCCCCTTGAATTTTTCTTGTTGGTACATACTGATGCATGCATTGGTGATACATCTGAAAGAATTTTAGCTTGGTCATCAAGGGGAAGTTCTATTGACTCACAGGCTTCCTGTGTTGAGAAGGAAAATTTCTTAAATTTCTTTACAAATACCTTTCACATTATTATTTTATATAAAGGATAACTCTTTTTTTGCTTTATAGAAAAGTGGTAATTTTTAGTCTGCCTTTTCCACTACTTTGAATGCTCAAAAAAAAAAAAAAAAGTGCAAACAAGCACAACCTCCCCTCCTCCCCCCGCATTTCTAGCATATACAGTCATTCATAGCAACTATTCTGTATCTCATTGTAGCTTCAGAGC